GGACCCCCCCCCCCCCCCCCACCACCACCACCACCACACACACACACACACACACACACACACACACACACACACACACACACACACACACACACACACACACACACACAAACCTTTTGTCTCTTCCTTTCTCTTTCACCTGTCTCTGTGTCTGGTCGGAATTACATGCATTCAAAAAACAATAACAATAAAGTTTTAAGTATCAGGTGTGACATTAAAAGCAGAAGCTTTGATGCTCCACCTGAGAGTAAATCTGTAAGGCTTGTTACCAGCATTCAGACATTAATTCTGTTTGCTTCACAGCCAGACAGGACACCGAAAAAAAACCTGTTTTCCTTGTAAGTGATGCAGTGTGACATAAACAGTGGTTAGATTTAGGTAAGGCAAATTTAGAAATGTGTCATTTTTGCGGGATAGTTCTCACAGTAATGCTATTAAAGTCATTTGTTTTATGAGGTAAAAGTCCAGCATTTATTAAATATCTACTGACATCGTTCATGCCGTAACACAAAATAATTCTATCTTGAAAAAAAAAAACGGAGTTACGGCTGTTTTGGTCATTCCTGAAATTGGTGTGTGCGTTTGGGTAAGTGCATAACTCTCAGTCAATATCAGAAGGTGCAGCTCAATACCTGCATGATTGGTGAGTTTGTGTTTTCAAATATTGATCAGTTATGACAGCCGTCTTGAATCTTGTACATGCAATAACTAATAACTACTTTCTGAGTAATGTCAAACTCCATCCAGTGTGATGTTTTGCTGACACTGCAGACAAACATGTCCAGACACACATACAGGCAAAACATCACTGCCGACCTTAAAGCCCAGTGAGATCACTTTCAACATCACAGATTGTTTTCATTTCAGAATTCTGAATTATTGCAATTACACACTGTGCATAATCTTAATTTCCCCCCCCCCCCCCCCCCCAAAAAAAAAAAACATTAATAAAATTTCAACAACAATCAAATTCATCAAAATCAGTGACTGTATATTTTTCATCTTGGTATTAATAGGTCAATCAGTAGAAATGTGTTCATGAAAGTAAGGATTTTAGGTCAAATTGTAGACTTTACCCAGTTAGTTGTGCTATCCTGAGCTTTTGTTTGGTACACCATGATTTTATTACTTTTCGGATTAGCGGCATTGTATGAAACATAAGAACCAAACATTGTTTTAAAAAATGTTGTAGGTTAAATGTAAAAATTTTATCTTTTTATAGGATAGTGGAAGGGTTAAAAAAAATCCCAATTATTAAAACCAGGTCTCCCTGAATAACAACTCATTTCATGAAGGCTTTTTATTTATTATTATTTATTAGTTTATTTCACCCATTCTAACTTTCATTGACATCATTTCTAGGTGCAGCAACCTGTGTAAAGCCTAATTTATACTTCTCCATCAGCTCCGTGAGGGAGAGACACGCACAGACGGAGACAATTTGCCCTCATACTTCTCCGTCTCCTGGGGAGTGTTGCAAAGCAATTCCCCGCCAGGACAACAGAGGGCGTAGCGCTGTTCTGTGGTATCCTGTCATGTATCTGGCTCACAATTGTGTGTTTATATTGTTTATTTTATTTTATTATTATTTTGTTTGTATTTAAGAGACTTTTTAACACAGACACATTTGTCCCTCATCCTTGTAACATCCAGAAAGGGTCAATGTTGACCTATATATTGACCTACATAGTGACCGATCATCTACAGAAATAAGTCCACTATCTAGGTGGATTTGTTATTCTATCTTCTAACACCCAGAAGATTCTGCAGTGCTTGTTGACAGCCATGAAGACAAGATTGTCAAACTTATCTCAGACTGCTGGACTCCACACTGAATGAAAAGTGAACTTTTACAACTCATAAGTTAAAAAATCATATGTTTGAATGACCCAGATGTTATATGAAATGTTTGAATAATCTGCACCTAATGCAGTGAAGTTGTGTCATGAATATTGTCCTTACAATGATCCATTTATATATTATGATCAGTACTGTTTGATTTAACAAGTTAATCATTATCTACACTCATACACAATGTTCATTAGATGCAAATTAAGGTTAAGGTCATCTCACATAAAGTTTAAAGATTCTTTATCCACAGAGCTAGGACAGCTTGCATCTGGAAGGTGTGTTTTCTGAGGGATGTTCCGAGTGACTTCCTGAGTTACTCAGTTTCGAGCGGAACTCCGAAGTGGCCAATTCGGAGCCAGCCTCCTGGAGACACCTTTCTCTTTGATGCACAGTCAAACCTGTTGGCACACTGCCAGCTGACAAAGCCATACGGCTCCTTGAGAGTGCATCTGTCTTAGACGCAACAAATCTTCCTGCCTGTTGTGACCTGGAGGCAACTCGAGACCGGACTGGTTGCACTGCGGTTAATCAACGAACTTCGGTGCCTTGAGGTCCCCCGACTTCCTGACATTCCGGATCTGACCGGGGGTCTCCGATCAGGGTTTGTAGACACAACAGATTGCATCTGATGATGTTTTATTAATAAACAACTCTCTAGTTTATAGCAGACCGAATTACTTTACACCCAGAATTCACAATCTCTTTCAGGTACAAAGGTTCTGATACACATCTACTTTACACCACACCACCTACCACACACATTACATCACCGCGAATACACTCCGTCACATATCATTATTCATAGCTTGTCATGTATCATCATTAGAAAAGAATAAAATTCCTTTAAACTATATACGTGACTCTGTCTGAATTAATACAGAGTGTGTTTACGGTCCCTGAACAAGCAAAGAATTCTAAACATTCAAAGATCAATCAGGTTGTTATTTCATATTCATATGGAATCATCACATCTTATTGGTCATAATTAAATATGCAGTCGTTACGCTATAAAGTGTGATTCTACATCCTCCTCCACCTCTTCATGCGCTCACAACCTCTAAACCCACGTTTCCCGTCTTTTCCGTCCGCGAATAAAACACGTGCTGCATATCTTTTCACTCCTCCAGTCACGCGGGAATAAAACGTTCATATTTTTAGAGTTTTTCCGCGAGGCATTCTTCAAGCTGCCGCTAGATATCCTCGGCACTCTTTATGTTGTTGAGGGCGCAGTGGTACTGCTGACGACAGCGGCATCCTGACTAATCACAAGCTTGCGTTCTCCGTCTCGACAGCCAGAGGTTTTGAAAAGAGAGCTCGACTCCGTCCATTCTTGCGAGCCTGTCGGAGAGCTGTCGAAAGGACGGTCCCGACGCAGAGGGAGAAGTACAAATCAGGCTTTAGGGAGCTTCACACTGCACCAGCATTTGCTACATTCTAAGTTGATCTGTTGGCTTTACCGAGTTGGGACCTTCAGCAGACACCAGAGCAGTTGGCTTCCACGTGTGAAGGAGCTGGGATTAAGATCAGCCCCTACACGTCCATAGCCATGGGATGGATTGCCAACTTTGAGTTGGGAAGAAGCTTCTGTCCCAGATGGAGGTTTTCAAGCATCTCTGGGTCTTGATAAGTCAGAGGAGAACTGGGTGGAAGATTGATGAATGGATTGTGACGGCATCTGCAGTGATATCGACACCATCCTAATCCGATGTAATGAGAGAATTAAGGCAAAAAGCTAAGCTGTCAATTCACCGATCAGTCTGCACCCAGATGGTCATGAATTAGGTTTCATTTGTAAGCAGAGGAGAAGTTCAGTGTAGAGTCGCTCCTGCCTTCCTAACCTCTTTAACGGGAGGCGTCACCTGAGATGAGACCTTGGGGCAGACCTGGACTCTCTGGAGAGATTACATCTCACAGTTCGCTCGGGGATGAGTCAGAGTCCATCTCGATGAGCTGGAGGATGGATACCTGAGGAGGTCTAGGTATTTCTGTTGCTCCTATTTAGAGGCAATGGGTGCATGGATGAATAAATGAATGAGAGGATTAGAAAGTAGAAAGAGTATCTCTGTTGCTTTGCCTCAGAAATTTGCAACATAAGTTGTACTTTTGCCCCACATTTTATGTGCGATTGCAGCCTTACCAACCAATTCCATGGATTCTGTGCTGCAGGCTAAAACACAACGAGTAAGGAAGCACTAAATGAAATCTTTCTCAGGTGTTCATACAGTGCAATAATGACTGAAGCTAGGAGAAATACGGATGAAAAGGGAGGAGGAATTTTATTTCTTAGCAGTGCATCAAGCAGTGAAACACTACAGAGACCACTATTGGCCAGCACCGACTTAAATTAGACACCATAGTGAATTATTTACCTGTGAATCAGAATGCAGCTGTAATTGTTATAGGTCATAATCCACCTGTGGCTGTAAGGATAAGGTAGGAAGGCACACCTGCTGTTGACCTTTATTAGCCTGGTTGGTTTTAAGCCAAAAATGTTTAATCTCCATGGATGAGTTTATTAGAGCTTCACAGTTAACAAAAAAAAAATCGCATTATCTTATTAAACACTAGAAGAAAAGCCAGAAGCTGAAAATATAAATCTCTTTATTACTTTTTTCACTGCTAACAACCCGAATAAGTCCAGACACAACCCACCTTTGTTATGTGTGCTTCCCAAAAGGTTTCAGCTAAATAACAAGCATTAGGGAATAAAAACCTATACACACACACACACACACACACACACACACACACACACACACACACACACACACAGGAAGCTTTCTGAGTCTACTGGACAGGAGATTTTAATGTCTTAGGACGTTAGTTTTTCCTGCCGGGACAGAGTTCATTAGCACCTCCATGTTGGACATTCAGTCTCTTTATGCTGCAGGACAAATTACACCAAGCAAACAACCCCGTCCACATCTGCGACGGCGCTCACATGTGCACGCCGAGAGGCTCCCAGATGTTTATACAGACAATCTTGTGATCAACAGAAACTGTCTGATAACTAAATATGCAATCAATCAATTGTAGAAAGACTCGGGGGAAACAGAGATACGCTGACAGAAAACAAACAGCATGCCCGCTGTCCTCTTCCACAGTCAACTTAACCCTCCTTTTATCTTCTCTCATCCATCACATCTGTCTCTTCATCACTTTTATTATCTCTCTTTGTCTTGCTCCTCAAACACTTCTCTCTCAACATCTTTCCTCCATCCCTTAGCCTTCCCCCAGCAGCCTCCACTCCATCCATCCTCCTCCCCTTTTTCTCAGTGCCTCTCTCTCCTCCCCTTTCCTCCTCCTCCTGCCGTGCTCTGGACTCACTTCCCATTCCCCCCCAGCATGCACACTCCTCCCCTCACCTCTTCTACCTTCACATTCACCTCTCCATGCCTCCCTCTCTCCGCTCTTTTCATCACCTTCCTCTCCATCACCTACTAACACACATCATTTCTCGTCTCTCCCCGTTGTGTCGTCTCTCCCTCCTCCATCTTTCGCACTCAGCCTTGCTTGCCTTGAGTGCGCACACATGCTCAGGTTGATTGGCATACAAGGACAGACCACCCTCTCGCTCCAACCGGCTATGGTTTGATCGTGTGGCCAGACTTCTTGACACTGAGCTCAGCTGAGGAAGAGGATAAGTAAGGAACCATGGAGCCCAGTCACGTCTTCCCAGTTTTCCCTCCTAATGGGAGCAGCTGGAGCCCGGGGCAGGATCCCTCCGAGGTCGTCCAGGGATGCCCTCTTGGACCTCTGCCTGTCATCTACTACAGTGTCCTGCTCTGTCTGGGCCTGCCAGGTAGGAGATGTAGTTCTGCATGCAGGACTCATTCTGTGTCAGTTTGCACACAAGTGTGTTAGAACCCGCTGCGCTAGGCTGCATTTTGATTTGCGGTGCATTTGTTAGCTAGACTATGTCTTTTGCTTTGCTGCTCCTCATTGTCAAGCCCGAACCCTGTGGATTTGTCATCTGACCTTGTGGCTGTCACTTCTGCATGCATCCATACTTTGTGTGCATTTGTCTCTGCTTGTGTCTGGCTCTAAATGTCTACCCTAAAAGAAGACACCTGCTTCCAAATATGTGGAGAATAAGCACCGGAACACTTTCATTCCAGCATTAACGTGTGCAGATCCATGAAAAAGTTTTATGAATAACAACTGTGGCATGACCTCTAGGACAGGTGTGTGGCATTTTCTTCGATGACGCTATCACGTCTGTCTTCACAACTGAACTATTAGTCCATTCACAGTCACAGTCAGACCCGTTTACTGCCTCTGCCCCACTGTGTGATCTACGAGCACTGGCCCGGTCTCACACAGGGAGGCAAAGCGGCATGTGTGTGTAAGTGCATGTGTGTGTGTGTGTGTGTGTGTGTGTGTGTGTGTGTGTGTGTGTGTGTGTGTGTATGTGTGTGTGCGGCTGAAAGACACAGACAGAAAACCTGGAGGTCAAATGAATGGAGAAATCTCTTGATGCTTATTCAGAGATTGAGCTTCAGATGCTGAAACCCCACTGGGCATTCCTGATGTAGAAGAGTAAAATTTCATCACAAAAAAACCTAAATGCTGATTTATTACAATGTACTGAGATATTTCACCTGAAATAAACTCGATTTGTGCCTTTAGTCATTGTGAATTGAATTTGATTGTCTCTTTTCGCCTTAGTCTTGGATCAGAATGCGTTGTCCTTGATAAAGATTGATAGTGAGACGCTATCAACAATGTAAGCTGTTTAGGGTTCAAAAAACAAATCTGCGATGCAAAGTGAAGCTCGTTGTGTGCCAAGACTGCAGCCGCTCTTCAGATTTGCTGTCTTGTAAAAGCAAAAGTCTTTCTTTCCAATCAAATCTTGCTCTAATTATTTGTCCTGGACAGCAAGAAACAATTTACCCCGCTGGTGTTTCTTTGACTCTGCTGCTGCTGAGCTGCCTTCCCAAATGGGATTGAGGCTATTTGTTTAATCACTGAGCAAACAAAACCTGAGAGTTTGAGAAAATCTTACAACAGCTGAGAGCTGATGCTTTGCAGCAGCGACGTGTCCCATCATTATGACACAGCTTGTTCCGATCAAGCTGAATCATGAATGTTTCATGGGAGCGGCGTGCATGAGGAGAAGTGGCGTGACCTACAGACTCACACGTATTAAAAACTCCTGACCGATAGGAACCCATCGTTTGGATTTTTGGAAGGAGACTCATCAGTTAGCAGCAACAGGGTGATCTCTTTGAAGCATTGACTCTTTGACCTGCACGCTGCAGGCAGATGTGGGTCACATCAAGAGCTCAGATTTAAGGATGTAGTAAGAAGTTGATGAGAGAAGGGCTTTAAGGATGTCAAGTGGTGGCCAAAAGATGAAATGCTGCAGAATTGGATTAATAGGCTAGACTGAAGAAAGGAAAGGGCAGAGAGAAGAAGCAAGAGGATAAAGGAGGGAGATTTGAGCATTAATAGGGAGAAGGAGACTAACAACAGCAAAGTCTGGGCCTCCGGTGGGAGAGCACAGGCGAGAGAGCTGAAACTAATTGCCACATTTTTAATTAATTGCTAACCCGAGTTTGCTGTTTCTATCTCTGCTCACTTGAGACAACACAGACATGTGCAGGCAGAAGTTCACCTCGGTCTTTGACATGCTGGGATTAGCTCTTCTGAAAGTACACGACGTCCCAAAGCGCTCGGCTCTAAAACACAATCTGTACATCGGGAAGCTGTTTTGTTAACAAACTTTGTTTTATTAAAGTTCTAACATTTTTCATCTAACACAACAACCCCCCACCTTTACCCACCCTGCTACACAGGATCAAACACAAAAAGACAAAAAAATAAATGGTGCCAAAGCGACACTAAATGAAAACACGAAGATTGCTCCCCAAAAGTAATAAAAGAAAGAATCACGAAAAGCTATCCAAAAGTACACTGTCAAAATATAACATAAAATTTCCCCATCAAGCCCTTTAATCTGCACCTAATTTTTCTAAATGAATGTGTGTCATAATTTCATTGACCCAGTGATCGTAAGCTGGCTGGTGGGAGTCCTACCATTCGGACAATACAAGTCTCCTAGCCAACAAGCAGCAGAAGGTAATCGTGTCCAACTGGTTTGTCTCCAAAGCAGCCTCCACCACAACCACTCCAAGCAGAGCGGCCAAAGGATCTGGGTGCACTGTGGTCCCACAAACCTTGAAAAGTGCTTCAAAAATAGACCGCCAGTATTTCAGTAGTTTCGAGCAGGTCTAGAACATATGAAGGAATGTTGCACATGACCGTCTGCAACATCCCAAGTCTGGCTTGATTTTAGATGGAACGTCACCCCTCTGGTGGGAAAACAGTCGGAGTTGGTGTGTGAGGTGTGCTCTGGCTCCAGAACCGGTTTCCCCGAGAGGGATTGGACTTTCTTCCACTCTGGTGCTGCTTCCACTGAGTGGTGCCAAGAAGGGGTGGGTATACTTGTTGCCCCTAGATTGGTGCCTGTGGCCGCAGTGTTGTCAGTGCCTATCGAGGCGGCAACCCAAATCCTGCTAGTGGACACCGGCGGTTAGGGATACTATCTCAAGCTCTTTTTGGCCTGTGGGACTCCAGAGGCAGCTGCTAGGTACCGGCAGGCCAAGCGACCCTAACCATGGACAAGACAGTTTTGAAGAGATTCTGGTCCACCATCTGGAGAAGGAGGAGAAAGCAGTGCCCTACCAACGCTGTTTACAGTCGGGACGGTGTGCTGCTGACCTTGACTCAGGATGCAGAGTCTGGGGATTTTGGGTTGGGCTCTCCAACCCAAAGGAAGACCCAGGACACGCTGGAAGGACTATGTTTCTTGGCTGGCCAGGGAATGCTTTGGGACTCCCCTTGGAGGAACTGGCCCAAGTGGCTGGGGAGAGGGAAGTTTGGGCCCCTCTGCTTAGGCTGATGATCCCAGAAAAGCTGATGAAAATGGTTGGATGGATGGACATGTTCGACTCCTCTACCATCTTGGCTCCTCCCCCTCCTGGGAAGCTGTTAGCTGATTAGCAACGTGTGACAAAAGCAATGCAGGTGAATCAGTTTGAAAGTTTCATGAAGGTTTAACCTGCACAAACACACTCACACCTTTTATAAAGAAGGCCTGAAACACATCTACAGATGTCTGCATTTAAATCATTTGCAAAAGGTGTGAACACCAGTAAAATGTGTTCTCTGCTCTGAGGATTATATAAATCCTCTAGCAATTAATAAATAACAAGTTTTAAAGTTTGTTCTGTGAACCATCAGAGACTGCACATTCACACAAAAACACTGTCTCTGTGATGATTCACACACTTACGGATGAACTAATTAAATTTGCTGTGCATAGAATTAGAAACAAAAATATAAGGGAATAATGACTTTCGTCTTCAGTTTGATGTATGCCTTAGCATAACAGCATTGAGTAATAAATGAATTATCTGAAAAAAGGAGGATAGCTGAGAGAGCCATTGTTAAAAAATAGGTCCCTCCTGGGACACCTTGGCTCTTTGATCTCCTTTCTCCTGATGAAAAATTGAAAGACACATAGAGACTGGTTGGACACGTTACCACAGATGATAAAAGGAAATCAGAAACAAAATGTGTGGTTTTGACCCCAAAATGTTTTTAATCTTGTTTTAATAATAATCTAAATCACAACGAGGAGCAGCCTCCAGATGTTGAGACCATTTGAAGGTCAGAAAAATGTTGGATCCCAGAACTTTTTTATGCATCTACCTCGTTTTACTGTCAAATTTAATTTTTCTTCCAGCCAGAAATAAACCTAATCATCACTCACACAAGAAGAGGAAATAAAATAATAACAATCAGCATCACTTAATTAAGTTATCATTCCACCAAAAAGACCAACACTGCCCAGTATCTAGCTCATGCTTTAGTTGCAGCTTGGGTGGCTGCAGGATTCAGACTGGTGTAAGTTGAACAATGTCTCCTCCCACATCCACTTATCCACCCATTCAAGGGGAAAAGGTCGGGAATGCTCGGCTTTAACAACCACTTCTTCTTCCATGCTGCAGCATAGGCCAAGTGTCAGCTTCTACTTAATGAAGAGATGGGCTCCATCGATTTTCTGTTTGAACTATTGATCTGTCAATCCGCACAAACCGAGTGGCATCTTTGGTGGGATGGTGTCTTGTTAACAGATATTTTCACTCTGAAGCTGACTTTAAGGTTAGCCAGTTCAGACTGGATGAAACGGATATTGGATTGAGGAAAGAGTACGACTTAAGGAGGACTGCTAAAATTTTGTGGTTTTCTTTTTTTAGGAAGGACAGAACAGGGAGAAGATGGTGGAGGTAAGTCAGAGAGGGCACAGGAAGAGTAAAGAGAGGAGTGAGCTGTCGTTTGAGGCAAGAAATCAAAGTTGTGCAGTGACAGAGCTGACTTTGACCAGCTGACAACAATGCTGTTTCCAACACAACTCACTGAATCCTGTGTCTTTGTTTAATAATAGTTTCAGGCTGAGGATAATTACCAAGCTGATCTGAGTTCACTTTTCTCATCTTTTATTATTTTATTTTCCTACGAACTTTAAATTTCTGTCTTTTGTCTCACTTTAAATTATTGTAGTTTTTATTTTCTTTTGTAGTCGAATCAACAAAAACAGAATCCATGGATGCAGCTGAGAAGTTGAAGCTGGAGGAAAGAGACCACCCTCTATTGGCTGGATCCCGCATTGCTTAAGCTCCACCTCATCAATGTCAACTAATGGGCTTTTTCCTGACTAAAAATTAAAAATACAATAATGAGCTTTTCTTTATGTACTGGAAATTGTTGATTCATCCCTTCATGCTGGAAAGCGCT